CCGGGAATGGGCTGCACTGACCCTCCTGGTACCGGATCTCCCGGGAATGGGCTGCACCGACACCCCCTCGAGACTGGGACTCCCCCAGCCTGGTCTACACCGACCCCCATTCCCCAGGATCGGGCTGCACTGACACCCCCACCCAGACCCAGATCCCCTCCCCTGGGCACTGAATCCCCCCCAGGATCCCCCACACCGAGCCCCCAGGACAAACCATGTCCTGACCCCCCCCCCGGCCCCCTTCCCCTCGCGGGGATCCCCCAGAACGGGGGTCCCAGTGCTCCCCACACCTGGCCAGTGCAGATGGTCCGACTGGTCCCGGTGGGTGCTGGTGGCAGGAGAGGGGACAGTCACGGAGCGCCCGGCGTCACCCACTGGGTACTGTGACCACGCCGTGCCTGTGATGTCGGGGACACCCCGGGGTGGTGACAACGGGGACAAAGTTCAGTGCCACACGGCCGCGGGGCACAGTCCAGGTGACATCCTGTGGCACCCTCAGTGCCAGCACCCCACTGGCACCCACCCCGCTCTCCCAGCCCTCCGTTGGGACCCTCCCTGGGGGTGCCCCCCCGGCTCTGCCGCCCGTGCCGAGCCCCCCCCCCGGGTGGGCCCAAGTCACCACGACAAGCTCTGAGTCATTTTTAAGGCCAAAAAAGTTGTTTTTCTTCCTCTTTCAACTGGTTTGAAGCCGCTAAAAGACGCGAAATCCCAACGCTCCCAGGGCTTGGGGACGGGCACAGGCCACGTCCTCCACGTGTCACCATCCCTGGCAGTGACATCGGGGTCCCACGCTGGGTCACCGGGTCCAATCCCACTGGGGTGGGGGTTCCCAGGCCTGGGTGCTCCCCCAGCCCCGCGGTGCCCGTGGCACCGAGGTGCCCGTGGCTCAGTGCCGGCTGCACACCCGCGGGGCAGCGGGCGCCCGGCGCGTCCCCCCGACGGTGTCACAGCCCTCCCACTTGGCCATCTCCACCTGGGAATCCTCGGGATACTCCACCAGCGCCGGGGCGAAGGGTCCCACGAGCCAGGGCAGGGGCGTGTGCTGCCCCACGTGCTCCAGCAGCTCGTCGACGCCCAGCTGTGCCCGCGCCACCCCGTCCCGGCTCTGTGCCAGCACCAGCTCCGACAGGTCGTGGAAGGAGCGGGCGCGGGCCAGGGCGGCCTGGACGCCCTCCACGCCGTGCCGGACGTGCCCCGCCGTCTCCTGGACGCTGCTGGGGAAGGCCCGGGCGCCGGAGGCCAGGCGGGCACAGGCGCCGTGGAGCTGCTGCAGGAGCCCCCGGAGCATGGCCAGGGCACGAGCCTCCACCTGCGGGGCACCGGCGGGCACGGGGGGCTCCAGAGGGGCTCCAGACCTCGGTGTCCTCCATGGGTACGGCCCCCCATGCCATACCACGGTGTCCTGGCCCCCCCAACCCATCCTGTGGTGTCCTCCATGGGTATGGCCCCCCACCCCATCCCATCCCTTGGTCTCCTCCGTGGGCATGATCTCCAGCCTGTGTCCTGGTGTCCTCCATGGCCACGGCCCCTTCCCCATATCCTGATGTCCTCCCCAGTCACAGCCCCTCGCCCCACACCTGTCTTCCAAGACCAAGGCACACTTTGGTGTCCTTCATGGGCATGGTTCCTCACCCCATCCCATACCTTGGTGTCCTCCACAGGCATAGCCCCCTTGACCCCATAACTCACTGTCTTCCACGGCCACAGCCCCCCACCCCATCCCTTGGTCTCCTCCACCGGCATGGTCCCCTTCCTGCATCCCGATGTCCTCCACAGCCGTGGCCCCTCACCCCACACCTCACTTCCAAGACCATAGTACATGACCCCACCCCATCCTCAGTGTCTTCCACAGGTACCCCTGCCCTGTACCTTGGTCTCCTCCATGGGCATGGCCCCCCACCCCAATACTTTGGTGTCCTCCATGGGCACGGTCCCCTGTCCCATACTGTGGTGTCCTCCATGGCCACAGCCCCCCACCCCATACCCGGGTGTCCTACATGGGCACGGTCCCCTGTCCCACACCTCGGTGTCTTCCACAGACACGGCCCCCCCCTCCCCATCCCCGGGTGTCCCCCGAGGTGCCCCCCAGCCCATACCTCACTCTCCTCCATGGGCACACCCTCCTGCCGGCTCCACTCCAGCCACAGCCGGTGGAGCCTCTCCCGGGTGCCGCTCCGGGGCCCGTCGGAGCCGCGCTGCCCCTCCTCGATCTGGGGGAGGTTCAGCCGGGTGGGAGCACACCCGGGGGTGCCGGGGCTGCCCCGGGGCTCCCCGTGGGCTTGCCGTGTCCTTACCAGCTGGATGAGGTGGTGGAGCTGTGCCAGCAGGTGCTGGGCGCTGTGCCGTGCCCGCCGCAGCTCGCCCAGCGAGCGCCGCAGGGCCCGGTGCCGCAGCTCGGCCGACAGGGAGCCCACGCGGACAAAGCAGCTCTGCCACCGCCGCTGCCGCCCCGGCGGGGACACTGCTGGGCCTGGGGACACCGCCGGGCCTGGGGACACTGCCGGGCCTGGGGACACCTCCCGGCCTGCTGTGCCCACCTCCGTGCCCCGGGCAACCTGTGCACCTGCTGTGGCTGCTGTGGGACCAGGGGTGAGGACGGCGTGGATGGACCGTCCTGTGCCAGGCAGTGGATCACCCCATGCTGGGCACTGGATAACCCCACACCAGGTCACCCCACGCCAGGCACTGGATCACCCCACACCAGGTCACCCCACACCAGGCACTGGATCACCTCATTCTGAGCACTGGATTACCAGGCATTGGATCACCAGGCTCTGGATGACCCCCCACCAGGCCCTGGATCACCCCCCACCAGGCACTGGATCACCCTATGCTGGGCACTGGATCACCCCATGCTGGGCACTGGATCACCAGGCACTGGATCACTCTGCACCAGGCACTGGATCACCCCATTCTGAGCACTGGATCAGCAGGCACTGGATGACCCCACACCAGGCACTGGATCACCAGGCCCTGGGATGACCCCCTCAAGCTCCACACCCAGGGGCACAGGGGTGCCCACCCACGGGATGCTTGGCCACCAGGTCACATGGAGGTGTCACCACAAAGCCCGGTGGCCCCGGTGTCACCCCTGTGCCACAGGGCCAGCTCTGCCCCCCTGTGCCAAGCTATAAATACCCGGGCGGGCAGCGCAGGACTATATTTGCCTCAGGTTTCCAGGTGAGAGTTCACCAGTGCCCTGGGCGGGCACTGTCCCCTGCACGGTGTCACAGTGAGCACGCTGCCCTGGCACCGCCACGGGGGGCTGAGCACGGCCAAAGGGGCACCACGGGGCGGGGATCCCAGGAGGGGGTTTGCACCCCCAAATCCTGGAGATGGTGCCTGTGACGGCACGGTGGGCACTCACCCAGCTCCTCCTGCGTCCTGGGAAGGTACCTGCCCACCAGCTGCTCCGGTCTGCCCAGCACTGTGCCCACCCCCGTGACCAGCAGCCGCCCCACGCGGGTGCCCGCCACGGTGCCGAGCGTCCTGGCCACCGCCCCGCTCACCAGCTCCCTGGTCCCGGCCACCACCTGCCAGGGGACGGCACAGGGCGGCCTCATCCTTCAGTGGCTCCAGCACCAAACCCCCCCTGAACCCCCCCAGGGGGACGTTACCCTCTCAGGGGGCTGCTGCAGGATGGGCAGCTTCTCCTCCAGCTTGTCCAGCCCTTTGCAGGCCAATTCGTTGGCGCTGGAAACTGGGGACGGCAAAAGAGGTGGGTTAAACACCCCCCTGCCCTGAGCAGCAGCTCTGATGGGGACGGGTTTGGGGGGAGCCCCAAATCTCGTGGGGTGTTTTCCCTCCCGTTTTCTTGTCCAGCTTCTCCAGCCCTTCGTTCCTTGGTGATATAAACGGGATGTGAGATCAGATGGTTCCTCTCCTGCTGCCTTGCAAGAGGCACTTTTTGGGTACCCCAGAATTCATAGGGTGCTGCTCCCCCCTCCCAGCTTCTCCTCCAGCTTCTGCAGCCCTTTGCAGGCAGATTTGGGGGCAGTGGGAGTCAGAGGCATGAAAACAGATTGTTCCTCTCCTGCTGCCTTGCAGGAGCTCTGTGAGAGCCAGTTTTGGGGGCCCCCCAACCCTGTAGGGTGATCTCCACCCCTTTATTCCTTGACCATATAAACTGATACACAAACCCAGATCATCCCTCTGCTGCTGCCTCACAGGAGC